AGAGTTTAAGCGTTCATTGGGCTAGTGGTACAAGTCATTCTTGTTCCATTAACTTCTCAGACACTGTATTTTTACTGAAAAGTGTGGGTCTAAGGGATGATGCTTCATGATCACAGGAGCAAGAACACACTTTCCAAATCTGATGGTCCCTTGGCTGACAAATCTGATGGCCCCTTGGCTGACTTTTGGAGATGACTTTATCATTATAGATGAACTCCTCACTTCATGTTCATAGATGCATTTAAAAGGAAATTGTTGTGCACCTTCCAGTCGGAACCGACTCATAGTTGACCCTCCAGCAGGTTTTCAGGGGCTATAAAATTGCCCATCTTTCTCCCTCAGAGCAGCTGGTGGATTCGAACTGCCTGTCTTTGTGTTGTCAGTATATCTCTACCTACGAGGCCACCAGCATTCCCCATAAAAGGGGGTGGAGGGAATGATAGTAACTTCACTTTTTGACCCTGGCAGCGGAGTTGACACATATATTTAGAAAGGAATGTTTTGGGCAGACAAACAGCTTAGACACATCTTTATATTTCTTTCCTAAATCAGGTTAAGAATGTGTCATCTCAAAAAAAAAAAAAAAGAGAGATTGTGTCATCTCGTTCTTCCCTTGCTTCGCCTAAGCTTTAAGTAGCAGTGTCATCTAGGAACCAATAGATGCTCCACAACCCGCTGGCTTGGGAAAGAGTTAACACCCTCCTGACACTGGGCCAGAGTCCTCAGTTCCCTTGACTTCCTCTTAAGCTTGTCATTCTCTCAATGGTCTGCTTTCTATCAAGCCAACAGTCAGTGGCTTAATTTATTTCCATAGTTACCTCGTAGATTTGAAAGCCAATTGTTCCCCCTACAAATCTTCACTTGCATCTGAACGACAAGGAGGAAGCCACAGGGCGTGAAGGCGCAGAGAAGTCATCCGCCCTAGCTGGTTCCCCCTCTTCTCTCCCGTTAGCCGGTTTGGGGCTGCAGTGGGCTGTGCACAAATAAGAAGTGACCTTTTCAGTTTCTCTGTGGACAGAGAAACCAGCTGTTCTGGAGAGGGAATTTCCCATCCTAGGTGTCCTTAGTGGGGGGCAGGAGGCTTTCCATCTGAAATCAGCAGACCCTGGCAGTGGAATGAGGCCATTTCTTGGGGGAGAAAGGCCTAGAGCTGTGTGTCAGGAAACAAGGGCTCTCCCCAGCACCCTAAGAAGTCCATAGCCCCATATACCTCTAGTAATAATAGAAAGGCAAGCTGACCCATGCATTTTCTTTTTTACTATGTGATTGACAATGAAATTCTGATGATGTCAAGCAAATTTAAAGTACTATTCTGTCTACTAATATTCATTTGCTATCCTCCTTTTTAGCCGTACCGTAGTCACTTTTGGTTGCTGTGAGGCTGAACACTGTAACACTGATGGGGACAGAGAGTGGGGTGGAGCTCCCCGATGAAAACAAGCTTGGAAGCAGGAGTGGCATCCACTTCCATAATAGCTTGCCTCCGGAAACCCTATGAACCTGGAGAGAGGATGAAAGGCACCCAAGCGTAGAGGACTCTCCTTCATAGGGTCGCTATGAGTCGTCTACGACTCGATGGCACTTAACAACAACAACAACATCCTCCTTTTTAAAATAGTGTTGAGAAGATTGAAGACAGGTCTCCTGTCTTGTCTTGTGTGGTAATTGTTGAATCTCTGTCATGTGCCAATTAGTTGAGTCCAACTTGTAGGGACCCTACAGACAGAGTGGACCTGCCCCAGAGGGTTTCCAAGGGTCCATTATGGAGCAGCCTCTCTGCTGGTCATTTCAAAAGCTGACCTTTAAGTTATCAGCTGAGTGCTTAACCACTGTGACACCAGGGCTTCTTCTCAGGCAACACCTCCCACCTCCCAGTTGTTATTAGCATTACAGAAAAACTATCGTGCTCCTTAATGATGGTTTGAGGCATATGGGGTTCCCCCAGAAGTGAGTAAATACAATGAAACTACAGAAATGTAAATATTTCCCACTAATAGAAAAGTGAAGGGATTGTACGCTGTCAAAGGTGGACAACTTGTCAGATCCAGAGAGCAAGGTGGTCCTGTCGTTGACTCACTGCATAATTAGCCACACTTTTATTGTTTTGCACGTTTTACTAGACATTCACTGTCTTATTTTCAGTTTTATTTGAAGTGAGTTGACTGCTCCCTTGCAGTCAGCGGAGGGTGACTGCAGTCTGGAGGCCTCACGGATGCTAGCAGGGCACTTGGTTGTGGGTTTGCCTCAGGGGCACAAACTCCCATCAGCAGTGCTTCCATGGCCATGGCGTTGACTTGAGAAAAGTGGGCCTACGCAGATGCTCATGACTAATGCTGTCCATTTCCTGTCCCTCTGGGACATAATGTGGGGAAGGATGAGCGGTTTACCTGTAGCTCTCTGACCCTGGGGCATTGGACTGTTCTGGTAAGATGGGTGGGTGAAGGGCTGGGAGAGTCTAAGGGTGAAGACCCTGGCATTTCTGGGGGTCTTCGCCTCGGGGCTGAGCTCGTGGACTTGGGTGAGAATGTGGGTACACGTGTGTTAGAATATTAGTCAGCACTGTAGCCCAGTGGTCTCCAGGCCTCTCTAACGCTGGCTGACCCTCTCCAGCTCTGCCCCTTCATAGTCTCATCTTAAGATGAAGGCTTCGCCAGGTGTGCTCTGGAGTTGCCTTTTGGCTTTGTCATTTCGTTAGTTCAGTGTGCTTTGTTAAGATCCCAAGGGAATTAAGAGACAGTAACTCCAGTGCTTCTAAATGAAACACAGCCTTGGGGGAAAGCAGCCTTCGTAAGTGAATGGCCATGTGGATTCAGAACCATCTGGGTTTAAACAGAATTGAATCTTCCCTTTCCTTCCCTGTCTACTGGGAGAGCACACCCCTGTGACTGACGTCCTCTGCAGGGAGGACCTCGGACCGCAGACACTCAACACCTGCTCTGGGCCCTAAAGTTTAGGCACGTTCTGCACTTAACCTTCCTTAGTCTGCATTAAGTTGTTATCATCACCTGAAAACTCAGAATAAAACTACTTACTATATGGACTTGCAGAATGATATGCAACCTGACACACAGGGCCCTGCTTAGGGCCATGGAAAATTCTGGACTCTTCTGGCAAAATTTAAAAAAAAAAAGCCTTCAGCCTCCTTGTACAGGCTCAGCCAAGCTCGCTGACTACTGGTCAGACTTCAGACTGGATAGAACATTGCACACAGCTTGAGGATCACAGATCAGGATTGTTGTAGTTTGATGGGCTTTGTCCTACAGTCATCCCAGGCCTCTGTATGCAATCTCTGGGACCTGGCAGCATTGGGTTTGGTGATGGGTTATACTGGTTATATTTATAGTTATATTTGGTTATATTATGGTTCTATTTGGTGGTGTGGTTATATTGGTTAGGTGCCTTTTGGGGACCTGTCATTGTCAGGCATTGTAATGTCAACCACAACTCCTAGAGACCGTGGGCACAATGGATTGAAACCTTGTGCTGTCTTATGCTATCCTCACAGTCTCCGCCATGTTCAAGTTCATGTTTGCAGTCGCTGTGGCAGTCCATGTCATTGAGGGTTAAAGAGCTGGTCAGGTTAGCCAGGAGAGGCCCTGGACTGGAGGAAATGACCCCAGAGAAGTGAGCCCTTTGATGTCTGATACACACTTCAGTTTCCTCATCTGTAAAATCGGAGGAGGTGGTTTGCTTCGGCCCATTGTGGAACTGGCGGGTGGAACTGCTTGGAAAACCGGCTGTGACTTTTCCTTGAAATGCTGTGAGCATGACTTCCATGAGAGCCAGGCCTCCAGGCTGGGTGACAGGGCCGCCAGGCACCTCAGCCTTTGTGCTCTTAGGTTTGCTTGGTTCCTGCTTGGGTTTTGAAGATCTGGGGCTGGAAGGAGGTCTGGAGATGCCCAGGGCTACTATGGGTTGGAGTAAGCCTAGAACAAGAACCCCGCCAGGGTTGGCTTCTCAGGGTAGACTGGTGAACAGGTGCTTCCACACCACACACTGACCTGTACGTACAGCAGCAATCAGGAAAGAAGGGGGAAGAACAGAGGAGAAAGTGACAGTTAAGGTTCTGAAGCACGTGGGGGGTGCACTCCGTTAATGTCCTCACTGTTAACACAGAGGCTACAGGTTCAAGTTCACCCCGTGAACTCCGGAAAAATCAGCCTACAGGTTCAAGTTCACCCCATGAACTCCTGAAAAATCAGCTTTGGATACCGGGGGTCACCAGGTGTCAGCATCGCCTTGATGGCATCTGGTTTTGTACAGTATTCCAGGCATCAGGGTGGGATTTCCAGATGCATCCTGACTTTTGCTTTCATTTGCCTCCTGGGAGATGAGTGCGTTCTCCCCGGCGGCTGTGGGAGACTTGTCTCTTTTAAGGGGTGAGGCTGGTTTTCAGTCAGGTATGCGATTCTGAAGACCAGGTCTTCCTACCACCCTTCTCAGGACTGGTGGTAAAGCCCTTCATGGACAGTGGTCTCAGGAGGAAATAAAAGATTTGAGATTTTGCACAGAAGGTGAGCCTTCTGCTTCGAAGTTGGTCCAGGTGGGGTTGGCACAAAGGCAGATTTTAAATATTCCTTCTATTCCTCTTAGATGCTCTGCAGTCTTTCCGCTGCCTGTGTGATGGCTTTCCGCCAGAACCGGTTAAGGGCTGCAGCCCCTTTGGGAAAGCTCTCGCCAAGGCTGTAATAATAACTTAACAAGTGGCTGCAACGGGGAGCATGCATTTCAGATGAGTCCTGGGTTCCTTGCCAATATTGTGTTAACATTTATTCTAGAGACATTTCTGTTCCGCATGGCAATCCATAAATGTATTCATGTTCTGAGACAGTCAAACAGAAAAAAGGTCAGAGAAGAAGCACCAAGTATATGAATTTTTAGCAAAGTTGACCAAACACTTGTCCGCCTAATCCCAAAGGAGGAGCAGAGAGAAATCAATAGCAAACCTTCCAGAATGTACCTGGCAGTGACCGGCCTTTTCTTTGTCGTTTTGTTTACAGAATCGGCTACCCGATTCCAATGTTTACGGGATTCTGCATCATGTTTATCTCAACAATTAGTAAGTGCCTGATGCTTGTCTGCTGGGTGTGGGTGCATGCTGCCTCTGAGGACCGGAAGTGGGGGGATGAGGATGATGAAGACTGTCCCATGTGCAAACTGCAGGAAGGAGTTGGTGGGGGAGGGCCAGATAGGGCGAAGGCAAGGATGGGGTCTTGGGAGGGCGCCGAGTGGCCTGGTGACCGGCCTGCCTGTGCCCCACAGTGTTCGCCTTCTCCAGCACCTACGCACTGCTCCTCATCGCCCGGTCCCTGCAGGGCATCGGCTCGTCCTGCTCCTCTGTGGCTGGTAGGTGTGGAGATCTCCGAGCCAGCCTGTGTTCCAGGGCCTTCTCTGCCCCAGGGGGGCTGCCAGCCTGGTCCGCACTGGCTCATTCCTTACAGAATTAGCTGGGACCATTCGAGAATCAAAAGACTGCAGAATGGGGCGGAAGGGTGCTCTGGGAGAAGACCCTCAGGGTCCTTGTGGGGTCTGTTTGGTCTCCGGTTTTAGTAGACTTGACACATTTGGGGAAGAGTCTTGGTTTACTCCCCTGACGTTCCCAAAGTGGGTTTGAAGGTTTCGCTTCCTGTCTAGGCATGGGCATGCTTGCCAGCGTGTACACAGATGATCAGGAGAGAGGCAACGCCATGGGCATCGCGCTGGGAGGCCTGGCCATGGGGGTCCTAGGTGAGTAAGACCCTGGGAGTGGGTTCTGGGAAAGGGGCGTGTCTGTGCTGGGCCCTGGCTGCTCCCTCCTTCATTTCCTATTCTCCTAGACAGGGAGAACCCCAGGCTGGGTGACCTCCAGGTGAGCAGCAAAGGGGCTCAGGAGGCTGGGGTGCTGAGGTCATTTCATGTCTGATATTCATGACTTCCGTCATGCGTATCTGTCTCCTGCACCTGCCTGGGCGACTCCACGCAGCAGAGAGGACAGGCATGTGGTCTGAGTGGTGATTCGGATCCTTCCCTTTGACCTTCGCTCCTGGCCTTCACTGTGGAGCCTGGAATTCCTCGGAAGCTCTGGAGCCTCAGTAGGTGCTGGAGCCGTGAAGTTCTCAGCTGCTGAAAGATCAGCGGCAGTTCAAACCTTCCAGCAGCCCTGCATGAGAAGGACGTGGCGGCCTGCTTCGGTAGAGAGGGTCCCCCTGGAAACTGACGGACCGTTCTGCCTTGTCCTTCAGGGCTGCCGTGAGGCACAACACAGCAGTTGTGTTTTTTTTTACTTGATGATGGCAGAGGGTTTAAATGAATGGCACAATGGTTACATTCTCAGCTGCTAACCTCAAGGCCAGTAGTTTGAATCCATCAACAGCTCCGTAGGAGAAAAGACCTGGAGGTGTGTTCTCATAAATCTTTCAGCACCAAACACCCCTGTGGGGAAGTTCTCCTGTGCCATTCAGGGTCAATATGAGTCATAGTGGCTTGACAGCACCCAAAACAGCGTCAGAAATGAGGTGCTTGTTCAGCTGTCTGGACAAGACAGTGCTGTGACCAAGACTTTATTTCCCTCACCTTTACTTTTGGGGTTCCCTTTTACTTTGAGGTGATCTTTACAGGCTTGTGCCCATTTCTCAGGGCAATCTAGAAGGAAATTTCCAGGGCAACTTAAGAGCAAAATGAGATACAGGAGGACTGAAGGTGGGGTGGAAACAAGAGAGACAGATGGATGGTTCTGGTACTGAGGGAGGCAGCCAGTCCTGGACCCCCTTCTCTCTCTGCAGTGGGTCCCACCTTTGGGAGTGTGCTGTACGAATTTGTGGGGAAAACGGCCCCGTTCCTGGTGCTGGCCGCCTTGGTGCTCCTGGATGGGGGTGAGTGCGTCCTCCGTGCCTGCGGCCATGGCTGCCATGGTGGGGGTGCCCCTGGGTGGGGGTGAGTGCATCCTCGGTGCCTGTGGTCGTGGCCCTGGTGGTGGGGGTGCCCCTGGGTGGGGGTGACTGCATCCTCGGTGCCTGTGGTCGTGGCCCTGGTGGTGGGGGTGTCCCTGGATGGGGGTGAGTGCATCCTTGGTGCCTGCGGCCATGGCCCTGGTGGTGGGGGTGCCCCTGGGTGGGGGTGAGTGCATCCTCGGTGCCTGCGGCCATGGCTGCCATGGTGGGGGTGCCCCCGGATGGGGTTCAAGGCCCCACAACCATGGCCCCTGTAGTGAGGGTGCTCCTAGACAGTGGTGACTGTGTCCTCGAGGCCCCGCCGCCATGGCCCCATGGTGGCTGTGTCAGGCTTCACCTGACGTCTGAAAGAGTTGTCTTCTCCTCATAGCTATTCAGATCTTTGTCCTCCAGCCGTCCCGGGTGCAGCCGGAGGTAAGCAGGGGAGGGGGGAGGACCTGGGGTGGCCGCTGGGCGTTGCTCATCCTGTTTATTGTTTTTCAGAGTCAGAAGGGGACCCCAATAACCACTCTGCTGAGGGACCCTTACATCCTCATCGCTGCAGGTGGGTGTGGGTGGCGGGCCACGTGCTGGGGGAGGGGAGGGGGACTGCCATCACACATGAAAGGCAGAGGGGTGACAGGTCCCAAGTACTGGGCTTCATCCTTCATGAACTGCTGACTCTCTGCCCAGCTCCTGCTTGGTCTTTCGTGTGGGGCCAATTGAAAAGATGTATGTTGAGCTTTGTGGAGATGTCGTGCGGTGACATCTGGGGTCACGGCGTGTCCTGCCACAGATGTTGGCTTGGGCCGAGCTTCCTCACTGTTTATTCCTGTGTGGCCTTGAACTCTCCTTGGGAGCTGTGACCTTGCTGCAGGCGTCTCAGTGGTGGTCTAATTTATCTTGGCGTGTGGGCATAGAGATGAAAGCTGGGCCCCAAGGCCAGAGTGTGCCTCTTCTCCGTGGGCTGAACAGTAGAGATGTCGCACAGTCCTGACAAGCCTCTACCGCTGGGTCAGTTCTGGCTCACGGTGACCCTGAAGGACAGGGTACAACGGCCCACAGGCTCTGATTTTTTTTTCCTCATCCTTCCCCAAAAAGCAACACATGGGTCTGAATTGCTGACCTTTTAGTTAGCAGTCAAAGTCTTTAACCACCACGCCACCAGGGCTCCTTGTTGGCTTGTTGGATACCATTGAGTCAGAACTGACCCGTAGCTGAGCCTCAGTCAGTTTTTGGAGGCAGTAAATCGCACAGGAGTAGATTGCCCATCATTCTCCACGGAACAGCTGGTGGATTCGAACCATGTACCTTTGCATTGGTAGTGCAACTACTTGCTTGCCCTTCTTATTGACTTAGATGACCTAATAAAAAACCCTGAGGTTGGGTGGCTCTTAGGAAGGACAGGGGCTACCTTCATCCAAGGGGATGGACGGTCAAGCCTGTCCCAGTGGTGGTGGCCACCCCCCTTGCCTCGCCTCTGTCCTCTGCTGGGTGTGAGGCTGCATCACAGGGCCTGCCTTACTCTGTCTGACCCTAGGACCTGCCATGAGGGGTGGCCCTTGGGGCCAGGTCAGGAGGGGGCATAGGGCCCTCCGTGTGGCACTGGTCCTTCCTGTTCCTCCCCAGGAGGGTCAGATTTGTCTAAGCCATTCACAGACACTGGTCATGCTGTAAGACTGGCATGACCTGGCCATGCCCTGCTTTGGGACATGCAGAACCAGCCCTTTTCAAACCCCAGGCTGGTGTGTCTTACTTTTCTTTGCCATTTTGCTCAGAGCAGCACATGTCCTTAACTCCTGGTCAAAACCTGTTTATCTCGCTGTTGGCAGAAGGCCTGTCAACCTGTGTGCTGACCCCTTCATGTACTGAGAATTCTCTGTGCACCATGAAGACGCAGAGAGCTTTCTAGATCCCAGGTGCCTGGAGCTCCTGGAGTTGTCTAGGGAAGTGAGGAGGGGGGCATGAGAGGTGGGGCTGTAAGACGGGTCAGTCATCTGGGCAGACCTGTGGAACTGGAAACCCACAACTCCAGCATTTTTTGGAACCCCGTGTCCAGCCCCCGGTAGTTCCTGGGTAGTGCCGAGAGTTGATGAGAATGACTGCCAACTGAAAGGTGGGAGGTTCTAGTCCACCCAGAGGCACCCTGAAGGAAAGACCTGGTGATTTACTTCTGAAAGCTCAGGCGCTGGCAACGTCACGGAGCACAGCTTTTCTCTGACACCATGGGGGCACCATGCGTTGGTATTGAATTGACAGTGGTGGGTTTGTTGTGTAGGCCTTGCTCATGGAAGAAAAGAGAAAAATCCATGCAGCACTAAACCTCAGGCTCTGACTAGGGGACGGAGTTGAGAGTGAGGTGGGGTTTGGGGAGCCCAGTCCCATGTTCTCAGCATCATTTCTGTGTTCCACGTTTAAATGCTGTAAAGAATGAAAGTTGGCCTTCGTTACGTGAGCACCTTAGTCAGGTCTGCACAGTAGTCCTTGAAATCCAGCAAATTAGAGGGTCCAAGGGGAACATGAGGTAACTCGTGGTTGCTGTGAAGCTGAACACTGTTACGCTGATATGTCAAATGCAATAATGGTTACCCATGGTGAACAGTGTTTGGTGGAGCTCCCTGATTAAAACAAGCTTGGAAGCAGGAGTGGCATCCACTTCTGTAATAGCTTGCCTCCGGAAACCCTATGAACCTGGAGAGAATGTAAGTCACACAAGTGTTGAGGACTTTCATTCATAGGGTCACTATGAGTCGCCTACGACTCGACGGCACTTAACAACAACAATGAAGGGGAACGTGGTGGAGAGGCAGCCCTTAGAAAGTTCGCTCTGTGTCTTTTCTAGCTAGTTATACATTTACAGAAGCTTCTGATTCAAAGATTGACAATGAATATAGACACAGATGGCCTATAAATGTGGTTGGTTTTGGGAAACAAACAACAAGGCCCTCTATCCCACTAGGTATAAAATGCACTGGGTCCTTATTGAATTTTCTGGCACCCAAGGCATCATTAAAAAAAAAAAAAGAAAGAAAAACCATGTTCCTTGTACATTGAGAAAGACGCAAATGCTTCAGCTCGTCCGAGTCTGTGTGTAGTCTGGACATTGTCTGCACCACTGGGTGACCTCAAGCTCTTCACTGATAAATTAGAAGCCCTTTTATTTGCTAATAAAGTGGGAATGCTAAAACAAATGATCTGGAAGGCTGCCTCCAGTTCTTTGGGATTCAGTTGTGTAAAAATATCATCATCATGACGTCCACATCGTCAGCAACTCTCCTTGACTGTTCTCTTGCCTTGTTACTCAGATCTTCTTCCAGAAGCAGGGAAGAACTTTCTGGGTACCTGTGCTGGCTGTCTAGGGGTGGGCACGTGGAGTGTTGCTGAGATTGGAAATGCAGGGGGACAGTCAAGCCCCAGATGGAGCTCATGCAGCCTCTTCCCTCTCCCGCCCTTCAAGGATCCATCTGCTTCGCAAATATGGCCATCGCCATGCTGGAGCCGGCACTGCCCATCTGGATGATGGAGACCATGTGTTCCCACAAGTGGCAACTGGGTGAGCACTGGGCCCTGCAGATGCTGAAAGGTTTGCCTCCAGGGACGGTCCCCTCAGTGCAGCCTGGTTGAGCTGTGGTACCAGGATGGTCAGGTGATGGCTCTGTTTGAGTCTTCATGAGGCTGGTACCGAGGGGAGCAGAGAGATCCAGGCAGGGTCTGTTTTATTTCTGGCCTTTATACCTTCCCTGATGGATATAGAATGAATTTGGAGGCATGAGACCTGGGCAGAAAGGAGAGAGTAGAAAGAAAATCAGCATCTCTCCATATCCCTAAACTAGACTAACCATTATTACTAAATAGCAATAAATTTAGCTTTTAAGAGCATGAACTTTTAAGATGGTTTCTAAATGAAACAAGGAATATATGTTTAGAAATTAAAGCCCAACTGAAGAAGCAGACCTTTGAAATGCTCAATGTTCATGTCCCTTCTTCCCGTCCCCCAGCCCACTCTCTGTGAGAGCCATTCTTGATAATTCTCTGTCTTTTTCCAGATGGTTCTGCATTTATCAGCGTATGTATGAAGTGCTTAAAAATCCAAACCCAAATTGAAACTTGTCATTTACCTTATTGTGTAACATTTGGTTTTTCGTCATCAAGTCTTATGGCCATGTTTCCATGTCAAAATTATTTAAATTTTAGCAGAGTTACCAAATTTAAAAAGTCATGAAAAAGAAAACCCAGTCCTGGGCCTCTCCACACTCCAAACTTTCAGCTCTTTTAGATGTGTTTGTTGGGGGGGGGGGGTATTTTGGCTAATTTCTTTGGCTAATAGTTTGTGTATGCTCTTTTTTCTTCTTCCAATTTCTGACCTAGTCCACTGGTATCCTTACAAAGCTGATGACCATTTAATACTCTTGTTGCTCCGTCTGGGGATAAAAAGACCCAGAACATCAATCAGCTAACCCACAGACTTCTCACCCTGTGCTCCTGACACAGTTGTATCACAGCTCTCCGTTAGATTGGCATTCAGTACTGATGTATTGTTGTTGTTGTTGTTAAGTGCCATTGAGTCGCAGGCGACTTATAGCAACCCTATGAAGGAGAGTCCTCAACACTTGGGTGTCTCTCGTCCACTCTCCAGACTGACGTATTATGACTGTGTAAATATTGTTCACAGCTAAGTTATGCAGAGTGCTAGGATTAATTTCTTCTCTTTTTTCACAGATTCTTGGGTGGTTGTGTTTTGGGATTTTTTTTTTTTAAATCCTAGGCTTAGTTTAAAAAGCTTCACCTCTCCATGTTCTTAGTTTTTTATGTAGAATTGGTGCCTATTCTTGTTGTTAGGGGGTTCTGATTCATCGTGCCCCTGTTTTTGTTCCTGCACCATCCCCAATCTTGCTGCTGCATTTGAACCCCTTCTTGCAGCTGCTGAATCAGTTCACCTCGTTGAGGATCTTCCCCTCCCTTGGTGACCCTCTGTTTCACCAAGCAATATCTTCTCTGGGGACTGGACTCTCCTAACATGGCCGCGGTGTATGAGACAAAGCCTCACCACGCTTGCTTCTGTAAAGCAGTTTGGCTGTATTCCTTATAAGAAAGCTCTGCTCATTCTTCTGGAAGTCCATATGGTCGTCAGTATTTGTCACCAGCACCATCACTCAAATCTATCCATCCTTCTTTGGTCTTGTCATGAATGGGCCACGGCACATCTGTCAGTTTGTCGTACTGGGGTCGCTTGCATGTTGCTTTGATACTGGAAGTTGTGCCATCACCATTTAAAATTCCAGCAGGGTCACTTTTATAGTCAGGTGTCGGTGAAGATTCCAGATTAAGGCAGACTAGGAAGAAGATTCTGGACAGTGAAAATGTTGCGAATAGCAACAGTATTTATGAATATTTATGATCTTTGTGAATATTGTTGCTGGGTGTCATTCCTCTGGGAGCCAGCCGCCCTGTGTTCATCAGAAGCCTGCACGTCCCCTGCCACGCTCTCCACTTGCGTTGTCCCCCACTGGTGCTGTCACTGTGTCAGCGCGCCCTCTGGAGGGTCTTTCTCTCCCTTTCTGACTCTCTACTTTTTTACCAGCATGATTTTGCTCTCTAACAACTGGCTTTTCCTGATAACATGCCCAGAGTTTGTGAGATGAAGTCTTGGCATCCTTACTTCTAACAAACATACTGGCTTCACGTTTTCCAGGACAGATTTGTTTGCTCTTTTAGCAGCTTGGGGTGTAGTCACCACCATGATTCTAAAGCATCCATACGTCTTCAGGCTTCCTTGTACATTGTCCAGGTTTCACGTGCATATGAAGTAATTGAAAATACCATGGTTTGGGCCAAGTGCAGCTTAGTCTTTAAACTGATGTCCTTTCTCTTAAGCATTTTAAGGAGGTCCTTGACAGCACATTAACCTAATACAATTCTTCGTGTGATTTCTTGACCTCTGCTTCCATGGGTGTTACGGATCCAAGTAAAAGGAAACCCTTGATAACTTCAGTGTTTTCTCCATTTCTCATGAGACTGCTTATGGATATACTTTTCCCTTTTCCTGTGGAGTTTTTTTGTTATTTGCTGATTGATTTCATGTGCTTTGCATTTTAGGATGTTTCTCCTTCCCCAAATACTTTTCAGATACTTTCCCCCACTTTATTTTATCAATGCTATGTGCAACTCAAAACAATGAAAAGGCTGTAGCCCAATTTATCAGGCTTCTTTTTATAACATGTCAAACCCAGAAATGCCTTTCTATAGGCTGTCATCACTTTTTTAAACTAGACACTCATTTTCTGCTAATAAATGTATGACTTGTTTGTGCTGCTAACCCAAAAGTTACCCTCTCAGGTGGTTTAAACACACCAGTGGCTCCGAGTGAGAAAGAAGGGTTATCCCTTCCCATGAAATTTACAACCTCAGACACCCACTGGAGGGAGGGTCAGCAATGAGTTGATTTCCAACTCAACAGCAATGACTTTGAGGTGATTTTTAAAAAATGTATTTTTTTATTCATTTCAATGAACATCTACAGAGATTTTGGAATTCCATTCTTTCATTGTTGCATTTTTCTCCTCCCCTCCCCTCCCCCGTTCACTTTGAAGTGATTTTTAAGCAAGTGTGGAATTTAGGGTTATTTTCTCCCTTTACAGCCAGCTAATCAAACACCGTCTCTTGCCCCGTCCCTGACTTGGAATCTCACCTCCATCAGATCCTGAATTTCCACATGTTTTTGGATCTGTTTCTGAGTTTCATCTTCTGTTCTTTGATCTGCTTGTCATTACCTTGTCGATGCCCTCCTACTTAATGCCTAAATGTACAATACTGTTTAGTATCTGCAAGGGCGAGCCTCCCCCTACACATATTTATTATTCTTCCTAGATATTTTCTTTCAAAATTCCCACCCTGTCTGATATCTTCAGATTGAAACTTTCTGCTCAGATTAAGCATTGTTCATATTCAGTATATCCAGCCTTCACTCCTCAGCCAGCCTCATTTTCCCTCAAGTCACCAGCCTCTGTGCGACATCTGCCGGATAGATGCTGCCTCCCCTCCTGCCTCCCTGAAGTTGGTCTGGCTTGAGTACCACTTCTTCTGCTGGGCACTTTGGGCTGCTATGGTCTTATACTTAACAGTTGTTCTCTTCAAACTAGCTCCAGGCCTCTCAGGAAGCTGTCAGCAGTGGCTGTTGGGGAGGTTTCTCTTAGGGGTGGTGAAAATGTCCTGGAATTGCACACCTTATGAAAGCACTGAAAAGCACAAGCACACATTTGAAAAGGGGGAGTGTAATATGCGTTATAGCACCAAACAAAGGCACGCTTAGACGGTAACAGCTCTTCAGTGGAGGTGGGGGGGATTCTTGGAGGTCAACTCCAGATACGTACTCAGGGAGAAAACTAGCTTGAAACATCCTGGTCTTCATGAAGGAAAAGGAAACACAATGACTTTCAGAGAGCATGCTATTAAAAACAACCAAAAAAAATACCACCAGGCAGGAAGGACATACTTCCCTCCTCCCACTGCTAGGTTATCTGGCATTGCTGGAGCAGAAATACCACAAGTGAGTGGCTTTAACAAATAGAAAGTTACATTCTCACAGTTTAAGAGGCTAGAAGTTCAGGGCACCCGCTTTGCAGGAAGACTTCGATCCCTTTCAGCTCTGGGGAAATCCCTTGTCTCCTTGTGGCATCTGTGACATTGAACCCCCTTGGAGACGGCCGTGTGTTGTGGCGTCTGTCTTTCCCTGGGTCTAGGGAGTTCACAGTTCCCATCTCTTCTTTCTGGCTAGAGCTTTCTCTCTGCTCTCTCTCTCTCTTTTTTTTAAATTTAATTTAGTTTGTTTATTTTTCATTTCAATGAACATCTACAGAGATTTTGGAATTCCATTCATTCATTGTTACACCCTTCTCCCCGCACACCCCCCCCCCCCTCCCCCCACCCCGTTTGCTCCTCTCCTTGAAAAGCAAAAGAAAAACTCCCTCATTGGTACACAATCCCCCCCGCACCTCCCCAAACCCCACCCCGCACCCCCAAATATAATCCATTCTGCAACCCTCATTGTGCCTGAGAAAAACTGGATGAAATATGTTTATGGCATTGAAGTCTATGGGGGAGAGAATAGTCTAAAAGTATTATATTTTAGGGCATTATTTTTATCGTAGGAGTATTCTCTCTTTTTAAAATATCTTTCCATCTCAAAAACGATTGACTAAAGAAACAGCCTCTTCCTGTAGACTGTATCCTATCTCGTTACCATAACTGTCTCGTTACCATAACTGCCTCTAATGCTGCCTCATGGAGGTAGGGATTACAACACACAGGGTGGTCATTGGTCACATCTGTTGTCAAGGACGCTTATAAAGTGTTAAAGGGTGAGCATGTCATTTAAAGACTAAGGTGCACCTGATCAAAGCCATTGCATTTTCTGTTGCTTCCTATGCATCTCAAAGTAAGGAAGGTAGAAGAGGAATTGATGCCTTTGCACTGTTGTGTTGAAGATTATTGAATATCTCATGGATTTCCAAAAGAACAAAGCAATCTGCCCTGGAGGAAGAGCAACCAGGATGCTCCCTAGAGACAAGGATGGTGAAAATTCCTCTCACAGACTTAGGACTTGTTGTCAGGAGGGAAAGGTAGAAGGTCAGTAAAAGAGAGGAAGACCCTCAATGAGATGGACTTAAACAGTTACTGTAACAAGAGGCTTGACCCTGACAGAGGCCATGAGGATGGGGCAGAGCAGAGTTCCAGTCTGTTCATGAGTTGTTATGAGCCGTAGTCAACTCAACATCTAACAACATCTAACAAACATGGGATGATCGTGTCAGATTATCACAAACGGAAGACTGAGAATCAAGGCCTGGCGAAATGAATGCACATTTTCATGGAACACGATTCAATTCATAACAAGCACTGAATCAGTGGATGGCTGTTTAGCAGAAGAGGAGCCGACAGTCTCTGTGTGTTGTCACTGAAGCTCACGCTGATGTTTGCTCAAGCTGTTGTTAAGATTTCCATTCACCCTGGTCCCTGTGACGTGTGGGCCTGGGGTCCCGGTGAGCCATGTGGCGCTGAGTCGTGCGTGTGGGGTTTGTTTGAACGTGCTCTTGGGCAGAGATGCGCCTTTTTTTTTTTTTTTAAATGTTTCTGATGTCTCCACTTAAACAGCTTACAGTTCTAATTGGATGTGTCCTGGCCATGTGCAGGGCACTGTCACTCGCTTGTGCTCATCTTCTCCAGACAGGGCCGGAGGGCTTGCTGACAGAGTCTCTGAGACAGAAAGGCAGGTCATCTGAGCCAGAAAGCAACCTCGGGCTGCACAGATTCCATCAGCAGATAATCTGCTGGGCCTTATCGCCCAGGCCAGATGCTGGCCTGCTCGGGGCTAGCTCACCGCCCGTTTCCACCAGTGAATATTCGTTCTGCCTGCCTCAGAACAAGTGGGGCTTTCATCCTGTCAAGAAATTCACATTTCGGTGCCTATGTCCTGGGTCTGCCACACTGAAAGGAAATCCCTCATTTCCTTGGACCGCTGCAGTTTGCAGTCCATGGTTCTGGAACCCACAGGCTGCTCTGGCCCTGGTGAAAAGGAGCATGAGGGTGTCCCAGTGCAGAGGAACTGGCACTCTGGAAGCAGAACCCAGCCCTTTCCCTGGGTCTGTGTCCCCCCTTGAGTCTTAAGCCTGTCACTGTTTAGGGGTCTGGTGTGGCCCTTCTGCAGGCCAGTGTGAAAAGGGAAGCCGTTCTGCCTGTGTGAGTACACTGTGTGGCCGTAAACTCCCGGAACATCAATCGAACCTACTCTTCATTTTCATTTCCCAGAATGACCACGTCTGTAACAGTCTGGTGTTTGATTTTGTCCATGGAACGGATCGTTTCTGGTGTCCCTCCTGTGTGTGAAGTCTCAGCCTTTCTGGAGGCTTGATGGCTGGTGTTGGTGATGGTGGAGGTGTGGTGCCAGGCTGGTGTGTCCTTCCAGAGCTAACAGCGTTGCTGGGTGTGTCGGACACTGTCTGCGTAAGAAAGTCCCTGCGCCTTATAGTGTTTGTGTGGAGTGGGCATTTGCTGACTATTGTTTCTTTAAAAAAAAATAGAATGGTAAAATACATACAGCAAAGGAGTTGCCCATTTCTAGCTAGTTTTATGTGTACAATTTAACGACATTAATGACATTCACTATATTGTACGACCTTTAACCATTATCCATTTTCAAAAGTTTTCACTCACCATAAACAGAAAGTCAGTGCCCTCTAATTAATCAGTAATTCCCCGTCTCTTTCCACCCAGCTCCCTGGTGGCCGAAAATGAACTTGAGTGTCTCTGCTTTAGTCGGTCTGTTCTAGCTATTGTATAGAAGTGAGTGACTACTTTGTTGTGTTTTCTGTGTCAGACCGACGTCTCAGGTGTTTCCATGGATTAGCCACTTTGTGGAACGAATCAGAACTTCATGTCTCTGCCTATTGGTTTTTTTATTCTGGTTTATTTACAAAGTTCGTATACATTGTTTTTCACACCTCACACCGGATTTTTCTCATTTGCTTCATCCACCCCTCCCTCCACCTATCAAATTGTGCGACCCTCTCATTACCCACCCCCACCTCCCGCCCTCCTCGCCCCTCTGCTCCCACCCTCCCTCCCTTGAATCCTCAAGGACATCATGGCTCTTAATGGCTGAGTCCACTGAATGGATAGACCACATTGTGTTTACCTGTGCCTCTGTTGGTGGACGCTTGGTTTGTTCCTGCCCTCTGACTGGTATGAGCAGGGCTGCAGTGCAGATGGTGGGCAGGTATCTATCTGAGTCTCTGGATTCAGGTGTCTCGAATGTATATAGGAGTGGACTGCTATGGTGATTCTTTATCCATCTATTGGTGGTTTGTTGTGTTGGTTTGTTGTTTTGTTTTGTTTTTAATTGCAGGAATTAATTTATCTCTTTGGTTGATTGAGAACACTCATAGCCTTGAAGACATATTTCCCATTCATAGGCAAAGCACTGAATCATAGTTGGTATATCTGATTTCAGGGAAAAATAATAGTACTTTATACTAAAAATATTCAGTTTGAAGAGGACGGTGGTGGGGAGAGGTTGGAGCTGACCTGTCAAAACCCACTCTCAGCTGAGCCTGGTCTGACTGGAGGAGTCCCACCCAGCTGATGAAGAAGCTTGTTCAAGGCCATGGCTGCTGCCAAGAGCAGGAACTCAGCTCTGGTCATTGTAACAGTGGGCTGATATCGGCCACAGGAAAGACCACATAGACATTTCTTCTTAAACACAGAAGGATGCTCCTAATGCTTACTGCTCTTACAATAGGGCCCAGAACAGTAGGTACAGTACAGCCCTATGTTTGTTTTTTTGTTTGTTTGTTTTAAATGATTTTTTGTGTGTACCGTCAAATCGGATCTGACTGGTACAGGAGGAGACTGTTCCTCCTTCTCCCGCCGAGCATCTGGTGGATTCGAACTGCATATCTCTGGGATTGCAGTGTAACTTCCTGCCACTAGGGCTACCAGAGCTCCCTAGGCCTATGTTTTTTTGAGGAACAAGATTCTGTGGACACATTTACATGCACGGAAACTCCAGCCAGGAATGAGAGTGGTTGTGGCTGGCTGAATGCTGCATTGGGGGAACATCTTAACTTTTTCTTTTTGCATGATGTTTTTTGTCATTTTCTTCAATGAATATGTATCACTTTGATGACGTGGACTGTCACTGCTGTCCCCTCACATGTGAGGTCTCAGTGGCCAGGCTTAGCCTGTTGCCAGCTGCCCATGTGGCCCCATGAGCAGAGAGCCTGGGACCAGACAGGGGGTGGAGACGAGATGGAGCCATCGATAGAGAAATGGCTTTCATTTTTGGGGTGTGAACATATGAGCAGCTCGGTGCAGGTTCCTGAATGAGGGGATCAGACGGCTCGCCAGTGCCGGATATTAGCTGCTCGGGTGCAGACCCTGGGGTTTCATCTCATGTGCTCTAATCAACATTGCCGTGTCTACAATTATTAGTTTTTCCAGCATTTGGCTGATAGCAGTACTGATAAGGTGTCCCTTTCATAAATTTGCAGGCGTTGCTTTCTTACCAGCCAGCGTCTCTTATCTCATTGGAACCAATATTTTTGGGATACTCGCGCACAAAATGGGGAGGTAAGATGAAAAGAAAACCACGCTCACGCCGTTAGAATAACTAACGTAGCTGTCGATAGTCTGTTCTGACTCACAGGGACCCCATATGACAGCGCAGAATCGCCCCGGACTGTTTTCTAGGCTGTAATCTTTCTGGGAGCAAAGATTTTGCGAACCCCAGAAATCCAAGCCCTTTGCCATGCAGTTAAATCTGGTTCGTTCTGACCTTCCATTGGATTTCTGAGTTTGTAAATATCACCCCCTTTTTCCCGACGAGTGCCTGGTGGATTTGAACTGCTAACCTTTCCCTTAGTGGGATAACACATAATGCAACACTTGGTTCAGTTAAACTGCCAAGCTTTTTATGTGAGTGGCTGAGTGCTTAGCCAGTGTGCCACTAGGGCTTTTAATAATTTTAAGAAATGTTGCTTTAGCTTTGGCTATTACGTGTAATTGTTTTGGTCTCTTTGGAAATGTGGCTGGAGAGGAGCACTGAGCAGTCATTCATCGGTGGCGTTTTCTTTTGACAGGTGGCTTTGCTCTCTTCTGGGGATGCTGATCGTTGGCGTCAGCATTCTGTGTGTGAGTAAAAGGTGACAAAGCGAAGTGGGGCAGCAGTCGGGGAATCAGACAGTTGCCCTCAATAAGGGCCAGCAACAATATTTAGTACCACCCAGGAGTTTCTCATTATTCAGCTTTATTACATTGCTCCCTAATTATTGTCTATGTTTTAAAAATGTAGGCAATGCCCTGTTGTTGTTTTGTGTTGTCGAGTTAACTAAACTCACAGAGTCACTATGGATGCAGGTTGGAACCTGTCCTGTCTTGAGCTGTCCTCACCATCTCACTCCAACCGGCTTGAGTCTGAGGAGTATGTTTTCCTTGAATGCCAATTAGAAACTATTTATTTTTTTAAAAATTGTTATTTTATTCTTTTTTTTGTGTGCGTGTGTGTGTGTATGTGTGCTGTCAAATTGGATCTGACTGGTACAGGAGGAGATTGTCCCTCCTTCTCCAGCAGAGCATCTGGTGGATTTGAACCACACCGGTCTGGGACTGCAATTAGAAACTGTTAGTAATGTTTTACTACATGTTAGACTTTTAACTTCCTTTTGTAGAAATGATTTTACACAGTATGATTCCCTAGACAATCAAAGATAACAAGCTTGTAACAATAGCAAAATGTCTTCTAGACTAAAGCAATGGCCAAGATCTATTCCAAATGAGGCCTTCTTGACTTGTCAAAGATTGGGGTACACTGGGCTGACCTTTGACTTAAGCATCTCACTTGTTCTTTTGTGATAATTAGCCCCCTTTCACCTTCACTTTTAAAGATACAGAGGGTCCAGTTCTCCCCCAAGTCCATCCTTCTCTTTCCTCTTTCTGTTTCTTTCAGGAGGGGACCAATGTTCTTAGCCCAGAGAGAAGACATATTTTTTAAGAATCTCCAAAGTGTTTCAAAGTTAAAAATTAGGAACTTACTTTAAAATAACATTTCTTTTCTCTTACAGATTCCTTCTGCAAAAACCATTTACGGACTCATAGCTCCCAATTTTGGAGTTGGTTTTGCAATTGGTAAGTCAGCAAGCTTTCTGCCTAACTCTGTTCTTGACATCCCTGGGGAAGGTTTCCTTGCATCTGCCTGACTGTAGTTGCTGGAGATAAACCTCTGGAAGCTTGAGAGGCGGCTGTGGGCAGCGTAGCTTAAGTGTGCTACAGATGGTCCTCTGAAGGATCCCTGCTACCATGGACTAGTCCTTTCTCGCTCTGAAGACTCTCTGGAGTCTCTGAAGACTCTCTGGAAAGGCTGATGTTGACAGAGGCAAACTGAGCCTGTGTGCCGAGGCGAGCAAGCAGGAGAACCCCACACCCAGGGCCCATCAGTTGTGTGCCTACCTCTGGGAACAGACGTCCTCATATGAATCTCGGGCGAAGACCTCACGGCTGTTTTTTTTATCGGGTTTAGAACAAAATGCAGACTGAAGCATGGACTGAAACAAGCCTGCCTGCGCCATGGGAATTTTCACAGGCAAGGGAGAAGTCCTCAAATTGTGAAGAACAGTAACTACATATTACTGTTATTAGGGAAAATATTTTGAATTAATAATAAAACCAAGTATTTTGGATTAATTACCATTTACAGTATATAGATAAAACAAACAGTTAAATCTATCATGGGATAAGGTGAGAAATTAAGTCTTTGAGTGGTGTAGGGAATGGAAACTGTTTTGACCTCTCAACATTAGCGTCTCAGTGTGTGTGTGTATGTATCTATACACATGCATAGCTATATGTGTGTGTGTGTGTGTGTGTGTGCGTATAGGTGTGTGAATATATACACATGCTATTGTTGTTAAATGTCATTAAGTCAGAACATACTTATAGCAGACCCTCTAGTGGATTTTCAGAGGAAATTGCTCATCTTTCTCCCCACAAGCCATTGGTGGATTTGAACCACATGCATTTGGGTTGGCAGTGCAATTCCTTACCCACTAGGCCACCAGAGATCCCTGAATACATATATGTAGGTATACGTAACACACAACCACACATATGTGCATATAAGTATATGCAAGTATGTCTACATACATGTGGCAAGTATGTTTATACACATGTATAGGTATATATTATATACACTCTATTCCATGTACATGCTATATATGTGTGCATATGTACATGTGGATATATTACATAGGCACACATCATGTATGTGCATACAGTGTCGGTAGGTGTGTACACCTGTATGTCTGTGTTACATAAACACACATGTATGTTTGTGCATATGGGTATATGTGGGTGTATATTTATAAATAGTCTATCTCCTCCCACAGAACCTTTGTAGACCAATCACAGTGGTGATTAACTCTTCATTTCTCTGCTTGATGTTTAGTTCTTGTGCTAGTCTTGTCCACCTTGTGTCCCCACACCTAGCACATAGTAGGTGATCAGGAAACATTAACTGAATGAGACGTTTATCTTGTCTGCCTGCTTCTCGTCACACGTGGAGGTGAGAGAACACAGCTGAGTGCCCCCTGAGTGTGTCCACAAATGCCGTCTCATTTTAGTCAGTCATTGTCCCCATTTCCCAGACAGGAAAACTGAAGTTCAGAGAGGTGAAGGCGTGAGTGTGGTCCTCGGTCAGGGCTTTGAACTCAGAGCTTAAAAGCACGTGATTCCTTCATGCTCCCTGTCCTGGCTGATTGAGAGAACTGAGAGTCTAGTCCTGTTTTTGTTTCTCTTTCTTTTTCTTTTAAACTAATTAAATGAGCAAGTCTCTTTTGGCCTTCATGTTCTGAGTAGGGTCAGCTGTTCTCTCAGGCCCCTCAAACGTGAAACTCTCTGATCTTGCCTGGTATTTCCCAGCTTAATAAATCTCAGGATGAGGCTGAGGGCAAGGTGAGTAGGGAACTGGGGGAGGAGCTTGGGTGTGTCCACTCTTAGAGAGCGAGGGGCAAGCGGACCAAAAAGTAAGAAGACTTGCACACCCACGTTTATTGCAGCTTTGTTTGCAATAGCAAAGAGCTGGAAACAACCCAAGTGCCCATCAACAAACGATTGGATAGAGAAGCTCTGGTATATTCACATAATGGAATACTATGCTGCATTGAAAAACAAGGAACTCATGAAGTATTAAGCAAAATGGGTGACCCTGGAGGACATTGTTTCGTGAAATATCTGTCACAAAAGGACAAATATTGCATAGGGCCACTGTTGTAAAATGGGACTGACATCGAAGTTGAGGGAAGACAGAAAAGGAGGGGAGGAATGATAATATATTGCCTTGAAACAGATGAGGGAGAGAACTGTTTGAAAGGAACATATGAATGGGTATTCTTGTCATTACAGGAGTCCAGAGTGAAGGCTGCACAGTGGAGTGGACTTGGGGGGAGGGATTGCATAACAATGAAAGAGTTTTTCTTTCTTTTCAAGGAGAAGAGTGAATTGAGGGGGTGGGGATAGGCAGGGAGAAAAGTGCAACAGTGAATAACTGGAAACCCTAGGAGTCTGTAAACGTTCATTAAAATTAATAGAATTGTTTTAAAAAGTAGGAAGATTATCAGGAATCAAAAAAGCACAAAGAGGGCCTGGGCTCAGGGTCCACACAGTGAGGTACCTGCAGCTCCCCTTATCTGATGAACGACAAGGTAGGCCACCACCAGAGGAATGGGTGCTCTCCGTCACAGGGTGGTCAGTGGGCCGGTGGAGGACCAGGTAAGGCAGCGCCGAGACCAAGCAAAGGCTGGCCTGACAGGGATGGAGATGACAGCACTATGTTCCAGTCCCAGCCAAAGGCTGAGACAGTCTGTCCTTAAGACCAGACGTAGCAGTGACAAAAAGGGTAGTGAGTTAGGACACAGGTCCATGGCATTCGGCCTGTTTGCGGTCCGGACCAGCTTTCTCTAGACTGTGCTTCCTGACTGCCTACAGGAATGGTGGACTCATCCATGATGCCCATCATGGGCTACCTCGTGGACCTGCGCCATGTGTCTGTCTACGGGAGTGTGTACGCCATTGCAGATGTTGCCTTTTGTATGGGATACGCCATAGGTAAGGACGCTGGCTTTGCGGAAGGACTTTTGGTCTCCATGCTTGGCAGCTAATGCCTGCTGAAACATTTGCATCTTTCTGTCTCTGAGACAGTTGACAAGTGCTGGTGCTAATTCTCTGTTTCCTGCAAGGTCCTTCTGCGGGTGGAGCGATCGCCAAGACCATCGGATTTCCATGGCTCATGACCATTATCGGAATTATTAATATTCTCTTTGCTCCTCTCTGCTTTTTTCTTCGAAGTCCACCTGCCAAGGAAGAAAAAATGGTAAGGAAAACTCAGGATGTGATGAAGTATCTCTCCTTGATCTTGTTGCCATGGTCTTCCCCATAGCTTCCTCCTGGCCTATTTCTAAAGCCTGCACCTTGTAAGAGCTCCTTTTCTGCTTTTACAGGGCAATTGTTCTCTCTTCTGTATGGGGCAGTAGCTTTATATATATGAAGAGGGAAGTTATTATTGTATGTACATTAGCAGTTGGTATAGATTTGTGTCAAAATAATAGCATCTTGTTACTATTGGGTGTCTGAAAGTTGACTCCAAATCATAGTAACCCCAAGGGTGATAGAAGGGAGCCCTGTCCGATCACACACCAAGCTCAGTCTCTGTAGCATGGAGCCCTGTCTGGGTGCACACTGAGCTCAGTCTTCAGAATGGAACCCTGTCCGGGTGCACACCGAGCTCAGACTGTGTAGAATGGGACCCTGTCCAACCATGCACCGAGCTCAATCTCTGCAGCACTTAACTCCTGCAGTTTGAGCCACAGGGCCAGTTCATCCCACCGAGGGGCTTCCTCTCTATCCCTGACCTCCAGCTTTTCCAAACACCATGTCCTTCTCCAGGGACTGGCTCCTCTTGGTAAAATGCCTGTAGTATGTGGGAGGTGTCACCATTCTTGTTTCTAAGGAGCATGTGGCTTCATGCCTTTCAAGACAGATTTCTTTGTTCCTTTGGCGGTCCGTGGGATAATCAGTGTTACGCATCTGCACCATGACTCAGAGTCAATGAATGTTGGCAGCTCAGTTCAGTTTTGGTCTTAAAAAGCGTGGACGTATTTTCTCTGCCTCCTGCTCTCACTCCCAGGATTAGCCATTTGTGATGCTCACAGCATCGAGTGAGTCTTGGTCCTTCCTGTGTTTGTAAGGTTCCGGGGTGGTTTTCGTGTTCGTAACGTCCCTTGAGGAAAACATGTGCATCTTTTGACACACATGTGAGCAGGAGAACCAATTCATGGCTTTGTGGCCACTACTATTGGGCAAGGTGTCGTAGGATAGGATATCAATGTCTCATTCTTGAGCAAATTCACCTTTGTTGATTCTAAATTTGAATTTTGAAATGCAGCATTCATTTTAGCCTTCCTGAGATTATTGAATTGACCCAGAAAAGAAGTTCCATTTTTCTGCTATTAATTCACACTTAAGGGTGAGGCTGTTTATCTTTGAAATGTCAGCTGGTGATAGCCATTTCTGGAATTAGGAATGCCTTGGATTGAGATCTAATAAGATGGATGGACAAGACTAGAGGAGATGGTGGGCTTCTGTGTTTATGAATGGACGTGAGGCTCATTTGGGAGGTTTCCTTAGTGGACCAGATGTTCTTTCTGATGGTTGAAGTGAATATTTCTGAGTGCTTTGACATTTCCTGAACTTCCCTTTTATGATTTTTGCTGAAGAGTCAAGTGGTTTGGAAGCGGGAGTGGCATCCACTTCCTAAATAACATACCTCCAGAAATTCAGTGAACTTTGATAAATGTTGATAGTTGTCGAGAGGCTTCAGGCCTTTTGTGCTATATAGGGTCGCTACAAGTCGTGCTTGACCCGAAGGCAATCAACAACAACAACAACAACAACAACAAGTGGTTTTAAAAACAGAGATCCTAAAGTTAGGTATATTCAGCCAATACTGATATTGATAATCACTCAGTGTGTTTTTAAAATAGGCCTGGTGCTATTAATGATGAAGAATTTAATGACGTAATTGTGGCATAGCCATGGCATGTCCGAGGCAGTGGCGTGGACGATGATGTAGCAATGATCTCCTGATTTCCTGCTTTGCACCTCCTCACATTAGGGTCACCCTCATCAGTTAGCTGCTGTAGCTGCATCTCTAGCCCTGAACAGCTATTATCTCCGAGGGACTTCCTGTTTTCCAGCCCCCATGATTGTCTTGTCAGTTCTCAGTCCCCTTTGTTCAGCTGGCCCCAACACAGTATCTTACCCAAACAGCCGTCAGTGCAACAGCTAAAAAGCTATCATTCTGTTGTCACTGTGTGAGTGTGATTATAGCTGAATCAGGTTACTTTGAACCTGTTTTGACTGAAACATGATCAGCCATTAATGTCCCCAGCACCCAGTAGATGACGTTCACTTATTGCCAGTGTGGACGGGATGTCACGGGCTCTGGTTTTCCTAATGTACAACCTCAGCACTAAGGCCTGCCTGCTTTCAGCCCCTCCTCTGGTCCCTGAGGGAAATGACAGCGTCTATCTTAGGGTGTAGCTGCGGTTGCTTTTAGGTGCGAACCCTAACATTGCCTATGAACAACCTCCTGAACCCCGCCCCCTCGTGGGCATCCCCATCGTCTCAGAGACTTGAGCTTGTTACTCACTATGCCAGTTCATTTTGTGGAGGGTCTCTCTCTCTTTACCTTCGCTCCACTTTCCCAAACATGATGTCCTTCTCCAAGGACTGACCCCTCCTGACAGTATGTCCAAAGTCTGTGAGATGAAGCTTCGCCGTCCTTGCCTCTAAGGAGCTCCCTGGCTGCCCTTTCTCCAAGACAGACTCATGTGGTCCTTGGGCAACCTGTGAGATATTCAGTGCTCTTCTCCAACACCACGACTCAAAGGCATAGGGTTCTTCTCTCGTGCTTATTCATTGTCCAACTTCCAGACACATAGCAAGTGACTGAAACACCATGGCAGTGAGATTGAAATGAATGGATCCCAGAAGAGCGGTCACTCTAGGTGGTCACGTGGCCGGTGTTCACACATTATCACAAACTCTTCTTCCACGCTCTCATGTCCCATCCTAGGGTGCTACCCTTGTAACATTTTCCTCTCATTCTCCCCTTTTTCAGGGTTTCTTGTTGCCAAATGAGCCCCACAACAGTCGGGTGGAGGCCCCCCATAGGCATGATTTGGGCCACAGCCTCTGTGTCTGTCTGTGGACGATAGCTGGTCTTAGCTGGCTGTCAGGAGGTGGCCTCAGTACCTCCCTCTCCTTCCATACCTAAATCCAGGCCTTAATTCATCTAAAAACACACATCAAAACCACAACGATAAACAACCAAACAAACCAAAGGAAGGGGGAGAGACAATACTGAAAGGCAAAGTGATAAGAATTACAGGTTTCCAGGAAGCCGCTTTCCCTGCAAAATGTCAAAATCTTTAACAAGCACTCAGCAAGATGAATCATTAAAAACTTGAGAACATGCCCATCTCGCTGTCCCTAACTGATGCCTGTAATTGAAGGCACCGAGTCGGCTGCCACTTGACTGGTGGATGGCAGTGTCTGAGTACTGCTGGCTGGCGGCTGCTGTCTCCTCTCTGGGCGGGCGGAGCAGGAAGGCCTGGAGACTGAGAGCCCCGGTGCCCGAGGTGGGGGTAGGTGAGGGCAGGACAGCACCAGGGAGGAGGATGGATTACTGCACACTTGAGAGAACCCAGTGCAGACCAGCGCTGGCGTGCAGAGCAGATGGGCCATTACAAAGTGTCAGGGGTAAGAGTGTGACAATGAGATGCACAGCCCCGCGCAAACAGCCGTCTCATTAGGAAGGAGTCTTATAACGCAGAGCGCGGCTGGGGCGGCCTCGTGCAGACAGATCTGAGGCTGTGTCCCGAGGGTCAAGTCATGGGAGTGCGAGCACTTGAGTTTTTCTTCTATTTGTTTGTGTGTAATTCTGTGTGTTTTTCATGATTTTATATTCAGTGTTGACTTTTGGTCAAATATTATTCTAAGTGGTCTAGCACTGATCTGTGCATTGCTGTACAGAGGTAACTCGTGGTTGCTGTGAAGCTGAACACTGTGACACTGATGTGCCAAATGTGAGAATGGTTACCCATAGTGGACAGTGTTTGGTGGAGCTCCCCAATTAAAATAAGTTTGGGCCCATAGAGATTAAAACAAAAACTTTGCTGCTGTCAAGTCGATTCTAAAGTGAGCAGCCCTTCTGGTGGCCTAGTGGCAAGGAACTGCAACTACAATCCCAGAGGCGCATGGTTCGAATCCACAAGATGCTCTGCTGGGGAAGGAGGGACAATCTCCTCCTGTACCAGTCAGATCTGATTTGACGGTACACTCACACAAAAATAATAAAATAAAAAAATAAAAAAAAATATATGTAAAGTGGGCAGCCCTGTAAGACAAAGGAGAACTGCTCCATGTGGCTTCCAAGTGGCTCACAGAAAGGTCAGTGGTTCAAATCCAGCAGCTGCTCGAGGCGAGAAAGGACTCTTTCTTCCTGTAAAGACCTAGAGCTTCTGAAACCTGCCGGAGGGCTGCTGTGAGTCACAGCCAACTTGACAGCAGCGTGTTTTGGGAATCTTGACAGAAGCAGATGGACTTATCTTTCTCCTGCAGAGAAGCTGGTGGGTTTTACTACCAGCCAACACTTAATTCACTGAACTACCAGCGCATACCCTCTGGGCAGGCATCTCCCATAGAATCCCCCTGGACTTTGTCATCAGATCTCTGTTGGTGGCCCGGTTGGCTCAGCCCGTGTCGTCTCTGATTCCGTGGTCTCTTTAGTAAATGATCCATCTATGCTTAGCTCGTTCCCACCTCCTGCGCTGTCCTAATATTTTCCATCTTTCAAGGCTCGGCTCAGCTCCCACTCGTCCCTCTAGCTTTCCCCAGCACCCGCTCATGGAGAATTGAGACCTGCACTACCTCATTGACTCCTGGGATGAGGCCCATCTAAATATGGTCTTCATTGAGGTCACTGATGGACCACACAGGAGAGGTGCCTGATACGCTGGTCCGCTGTTTCACTGTGCTGTAGTCTTAGGTGATGGCCTGCAACATGTTAACATCCCTGTCGTGAGAGGGAACAGTCTACCACAGTGCTGCTGTGTCTGTCCCGACTCCTTCCTACCGTCCATCTGCTTAACATGGCTGTGATCCCAACGGGGAGACTGCCCAGCTTTCTCTCCTGGAGCCACGGGTGGATTCGAACTCCTGGAGTGACGGGGCCTGAAATACAACTTGCTATAGGGCTGGAAATTCCTGTCTCACCTCCCCCTGGTCCTTCCTCAGCCATTGTGGTTCTTGGCAAAGTCCTTGGTCAATCACGAATCCAAGGAGATGAGTGGGCGCCTGGCCATTTGGGGGTGCGTGTGTATTAAGCACATCCACACGAGGAAATGGGCTATTGTGTACAATGTCCCCAATTATTTTTAGACAGAGCTCTTTATTAAATGCAGCTGTCAATTTCCTGGCCAAGAAGCACAGAAAAGAAACAGCTGGGTTTGCAGCCTAACCTGGGCGGTGAAGGGAGTCCTTATCGGGCCCGCCCGCCCACACCCAGATCATTCTAAAAGTTCTCAAGAAATGATGGTTTAAGCACTGAGTGGAGTTCTAGATGGTAATCAAACCTGTGGGTTGAGAACTGAGAGGAGCAGCTGCCGACCAGCACCAGCCAGCTTGTAAGAGGTCCGTGTCGGCAGTACAAGCACTGCCACTTAGATGTTCCAAATGCGCAGAAAGATACTGGGGAAATCTGGCTGAGTTCTCCTGAAAGAGGAACACTCTGTGAGATGTCTTTACAGAGAATGAGACACAGTGGGCGCTCGCTGGCTGGCTGCTGCCTTGTCTGAAGGCTCTGAGTGTTACAAGAGCAGACTGGGGCTTCATGCTGCCCGGGCACCTTCTAGCTGTGCACCCCTCCATCAAGATCTTCCTGTCTGGCCCTGCTTGGGAGGTGGAGAGGCTACACGTGTCACACTCAGGTGTACGCTGAATGTCACCTGTATCATCAGGTTCTGTGCTCTGTGCCTGGTTCACCTGCAGGGGGAACAATCCCAAATGCTTGGCCACTGGGGGGGAGCAGGTTGACATAAAAGTATTGCATCTTCAGTCACACAGTTTTAATATTAAAGTAATGATAAAGGAAGGATGTGATTCCTTTGCCCCTCAGGCGGCAGATGGGCTTAAAAATCATACAGTGAGGTTAGAGGTTAGCCAGGAGTTGGGGAGAGGTGATCTGGAAATCAGCTTATGAAAAGGGCCCTGGGGTGTTTGGCCTAGAGAAATCCCTCAGCCGTGCTGTGGCCCGCAGGGCAGTCTGAGAGAGCAGCTATCAGAACTGGAGCCACAATCCTGGAGGCAGGTTTCAGTTCAGCCTCAGGCCTGTTTCTAACAATGGAGCTCTCTCCCCTTCACCCACTATCACAGTGGTGTTGGACTGGGTGACCTGGTTCACAGAGCCCCAGCTCCAAGATCCTGGCTATAACTCCTTTAAAACCCAGCTTGCGTAATGCTAGCTCTGTGGTGTATCCGATCCCAAGAACTAACTTGTGGCCCTTGACACGTATAATGAAAAGGGCCCCTTTGCACAACGTCTGCAGTCTCCTGTCTGAATTTTCACTGAGTGTGAAGCTCAAAATCTTCAGGCCAGAAGCCTGGCAGCTGTACCCTGGTTAAGAGTGGCTGACAGGGTGGAACACAGCTGTCAAACTGTTAGGTGCTGGTGATAGACTGAAATCTTGCCTTATCCTGTACCATCACCAGTCTCCGCCAAGCTCAAGTTCATTATTGCAGTCACTGTCAATCCATCTCTTTAAGGTCTTACTCTTTGGGCCCTCATTAGCTCTGGTGGGATGGTCCCTAGAGAGTTGTGGTGCCAACCTCTTGGTGGTCTTACCAAGGAGGAGGAAGAAAGATGGGCAGTCTTCGCCTGTGTGATTTACAGGCGTGGGATCCCCATGAAGGACCAGCTAAGACCCAGATCCTACTCAGGGGCAAGATGTTTTTTCCCAGCACCAGCCCCTCCTGATAACCTGTCCAAAATATGTGGGACAAACTTTCACCATTCTTTCTTCTGAGGGACACCCTCGTCCCATTTCCTCCAGGATCGATCTGCTCGTAAAAAGAACTCTTTCTACCAAATCCAATACTCTTTGCCATCACCACTATTCAAAGGAATTATTCTTGGTCTTCCTTTTTCATTGTCTCAACTTTCATGTATATGAAAACCAAACCACACATACGCAAACTAAAAGTACCATGATTTGGGTCAGGTACACCTTAGTCTTTAAGCAGACATCCTTGCTCTGTTTAGCACTTTCAAGTGGTCCTAGACACCAGATTTGCCCAGTGGAACATCTTTGCTCTTAACTGCTGCTATTGTGGGTGCTGATTGTAGGTCCAAGTAAAACACAATCACTGGCTACTTCAGTGTATTCTCCATCTATCAAACTGTGGCCTGATGGTTCTGTTGTGTTGTTTTCTTGATGCTGATTTGTTTTCCCTGTTCAGGGCTATAGTCCTTGACCTTCATCAGTAAGGGCTTTAAGTCGTCTGTACTTTCTGCACACGAGGTTGAGAGCTGCTGGAAACTTGTGGTGTAAAACCACCTTACTGTTATGAACAAGAAGTTAATCTCCCTCTATCTACTTTGTTCTCTTTTAGGCTATTCTCATGGACCACAACTGCCCTGTTAAAACAAAAATGTACACCCAGAATAACATCCAGTCATATCCAATAGGTGAAGAAGAAGAATCGGAAAGTGACTGAGGATCCCAGTCATGGACGTGTTTAGTTGTATCAAAGTGTCACCAGTGAAATGGCTTACCCACTACCGTAGTTGCACCATCCACCCCTGTCAAAGAGTACACCAACCAAAGGTCGTTATTTCTTTTCATGGTTCTGATTGATTGCCAACAGCCTTATAAAGAAAAAGCAGCTTTTCTAGGGGTTTGTACAAATAGCGTTGAAAACTTTATTTTCTGTATTTGGTTTTATTAAATATTATACAATGTATTTTGAAGATATAGGTATAGTGTAAATCTATAAATATTTGAATCCAAATCAAATATAATTTTTTAACTTACATTCATGAACACTTGGCAAAAAAAATGCTCTATTTTTTCTGAATATTGGTAATGAGTGTTTAAAACGAAAGCATACATTATCTGAGACTTTTCCAACAATGAGAAGCTAGAAGCTCGAAAGCCTGAGTTAAGGCAGCATTAGCTTACGTAGTTACTTTGAATGACTGCTGAGTTATATGACGTGTGATCACTGTCAGTTTATTTTTAAGTTAAAAGCTAGCTATCTCAAGTGTAAAGGCTATGAACTTGAGTCAGTCAGCTTTTGCACTTACCTGGAAATCTCTGCATTACTTTTGTGTGTAATCACCTACTTGCAAACAGATGGCTACATACACATTGTTTACATGCCATGTGCTTGGAAGCAAACATTAAAGTCATGAAGAGAAAAAGAATACTCTGAAAGCAGAAAAAGGAACACAAAGAGTTAGGAAGCTTGAAGATAGATTGTTTTGTTGGATGAAGGAAAATTGAGGATACATGTATCTTTTACACTATCCAGTGTGGCAAGAGAAAGGAACAGCTTCTTGAAATGTTAAGGACCTAAAAGGGTTTATAAAACTGAAGGCTGCTATGACATGAAAAATCAAACTCACCTTTGGCCCCTTTGGAGGTCATTTAAGTGTTTAAATTTTGGGTTGTCTGAAACAATTACTCTGTAGACTTCTGAAAATTGTTTACATCAATGTGAAAACAAATTTAAATGAAGGTGTTAAGTTGCTGCATTATATCTTGTGTTAGTAGGTAAAAATAATAGGTTAGGACACCTTTTATAGGCAGAAAAGGAAACTCAATATATAAAAACATCTAAAAACTGTCATCCTGTCCTCTTGTACTGTGTAATGTCATTTCCATGAGTCTGACAACACTGACACACCTTTTTAACATAACACCAAATACTGTGTTAGTGAAAACCGTTAGTGTGTCGAGTTCTGTATGTGCTGTTTGGAGTGTGAAGATAATGTGGAATATGTCTAAATACCTGTGATTTCGGCAGTTCTAAACAAACATGACTCAATGTCACTGTTTAGCTGCTGTTTACTTGGATCTCACGGAAAATACTACTCGTGTCTTATGTTCTAGGAAAGCAGCTAATTCATCTCCATCTGTTGTGTGACGCTCCTATGATGAATCAAAGTGTTTTTCAAGTACAGTGTGTCTAAAACAAGTAGGAGTCCTCTTTAATGATTTGTGCTGGGCAACTTAAAAGAGTGCTGTTTTGAAAGATGGCTCTGCTGGGACTTCCTTATCTGGTTAAAGCAAAAGGGTGGGGAAAGTCTCTATTTCTACTGGAGGAGAGCTTTAAAAAAAGATTCTCAACATTCTTTCCTCTTAACAGGGTGTGCGGCACCTCTGTCATCTCCAGTAGCCTAGTTATTCCTGTTTTATTTTTGCCTTGTTACCTCACATTTATTTCCTCAACAATGATGGCAAAAGCAGGTTTGCTGTTAATATCTCAAAGTAAGAAATCTGTTGCCATGTAGTTAGAACTCATAGCTGACTCTCCAGTGGGTTTTCAGAGGCTGTAAAGCAGGAGAGGACGGAAACAAAAAACAGAACCATGAGAGGATGTTGCCCGTCCTTCTCCTGAGGGCACCAGCTAGCTGTGCACTCTGCCCACGAGGGCTCCCTGTTAATCCTTCTGAAGGATATCAAAGAGAATGTGTTTTCCAACACTATTTTGGGAGGAGGAGATTAGTAATATCAGAGGTGGAAGTTAAAGAGAGGGAAATGGTAAGGTCTTTGTAGCTGTTAACTCTGGCTTAGAAAGACTGAAAACTTTATTTATGTATCAGAACAAAAATGGTTTCTATTGTCTACCTGGCAATACAAGTAGCTCCTGACTTACAACCGGGGTCTAGTCTGATGAGACTGTTCTAAGTTGGCTCTAAGTGTAACACTTTCCCCTTTTTTTATAATCGCCTTTCATTATCTTCATAAAACTAATCTTTGAATCTCTGTGAGTCAGCTGCTGAGAATAACACAAGCAAGTCATGGGCTGCAACAATGTATGTCATACATTATTACTAATAATAGTAAGATGTGCCAAAAACACCCAACAAAACCAGAGTGGCGAATGGAGTCCCTGAAAAGTCACATACATCATATGCGTTGAGTCGGGACCACTTGTAACAAAACTTTAATGAGGTATAATGGTCTGTCCTTTTAACTGCTAAATTTGTCTGTCTAAATAGTCTGAGCTAGTTTACGTAATAAATATTCTGAAAATGGTGCTGCGCCTATTTGTATTCCTTTATAAACCAGACACAGCTATGACAAGGTATACAATAAAGCTGAGGGTATTTAAAGGAAAATTATTTTCTCCTTTCAGACATCAGGTAAAATCTAGTTATATTCAACTTCTGGGTACAATTTATTTGAAACTAAAATACCTAACTACTACCTACCTAACTAGCTTGTACTAATGTGGGGAAACCCAGTTATGTGGCTTAAATTTAAAGCTGCAATTATGTCCAGATTTCTGCAAGTAACTGCATATGATGAAAATGACAATATTTCATCAAAATTCCTTGACGGTGTTGAAGTGGGCCCCCTAAAACACTCCCAATAGGGACATTTTTGATGTGCACATTGCTCTTTTGAGTATCAATAGCTTTAATTAGATCTCAAAGCAGACAGATTACACAAAGGCATTAGATGTATATTTAAGAAAAAAAAAAAAAGACCCTCACCCTAAGGGGTCTCAGAACTATTTAAAGGTAATTTGGAATGTAATTTTTTGGGATGGAAGATACTTTATCTTTACTAGTTTACTAAAAGCAAAACCACTTCCTAAAAGAAAGCTTCTTGTTGCAGAGTTGGGGCTGACGCACAGCTGACCCGCCAGTTTCTGAGGCTGTAACCCACACAGAAGAGCGTCCATCTATTTCATGGAGTCCCTGGTGGATATGCATCTCCAGGGCCGTGAGGCCTCTGGGATTCCCTACACTGCAGGCCACAAGGGTTCCCTGACTACTATTCTTGTTTGGAGTCCTCTTGTTGGAACTGTCCCATAGCTGACTTTCCAGTGGGCTTTCAGCACAGTAAGCCAGGACACTGCCGTCTTTCTCCCATGGAACAGCTGAAGGATTTGAACTGCATCCCTTTGGGTGGCAGGGGAACTTCTTATCACTAAGCCACTCGGCCATAGCACTGGGGGCTCAGCGGTAAGAATTGTGCTGCCAACATAAAGGTGGCGGTTGCTAGGTGTGCCACGGAGTCTGACTGACAGTGACCCTATCAATAGAGCTGAACCTGTCCCAGCCTGGGCCATCCTCATGTCTGATACACTTACGCCCACTGCTGCAGTCACTATAGCAATCTATCCTGTTGAGGGTCTTCCCCTTTCGCTGACCTTTCTAAGTGTGATCTCTTTCCAAAGAACAGCCTCTCCTAGCAACAAACCCAAAATATGTGTGGTGAACTTTCACTATCCTTAACTCTACGGAGTGTTCTGGCGGCACTTGCCCTGACTCTTCTGTTTTCTCTGCAGGCCATGGGGTACTCAGTGCTCTTCTCCAACACAAGACCACAAAGACCTTAATTCTTCTCCTGTCATCCTTGTTTTGTCCAGGTCTTTTAAATCACTTGATATGGATGAGAATGCAAAAGTATGTGGTTCGAATCCTTGGGAGAAAGATGGGCAGTCTGCCCAGCAATTAACTGCCTATTAAAACCCAGTGAAGGGTCAGCTATGGATTGGTTCAGACTTGGAGGTACAGAACTTTACTACTGTTGGTGTTATGTGCCATTGAGTTGCTTGCAACTCATAGTGGTCCTATGTACAACAGCTCTGAACCATGCTGTATTTTGAACCAACCTCATTGTCTCTGACACATCTACCCCCAATACCCCTCACTGAGTTAATCCCCCTCCACTCTTTCAAGTATGAGGTCCCTCTCCAAGGATTGGTCCCTCCTGGCAACATGCCCAATGTATGCAGGCAGAGCTTCAAAAGTCCTTGCTTCCAAGGAACAGCCTGGTTTTATTCTCTCCAGGACGAACCTATTTGCTTTCTTAGCAAGTACATGGTATATTTAATGCTCTTCCCCAGGACAATTTGAAGGCATCGATTCTTCTTCTGTCATCCTTAGTCACTGTCCAGCTCTCTGATGCATAGGTAGTTATTTGTGAAGACCATAGCCTGGATCAGGCACACCTTAGTCTCCAGATGACTTTAATTGCTCTTCAGTACTCTATAGAGAGGTCCCTGACCGCAGATTTTCCCAATGCAATTTGTCTTTTGATATACTATTAGTACAAAGTAAGTAAGAGTCAGATTTGGAACTTTCCAAGCCTCACAAATTCTCCTGCCTTGACAGGTCATCTTTGCACTTCTCTACTAATAAGCAATACTTAGCTTTTTGTCTCTGACAGATTTATGCCTTACGGAGGTTCTGGCTTTTGCAGGTTTTACTCTATTTTCAAATTGCCTTTTAAAATTCAGATATTCTGTTAAATTTGGAAACTGACCATCCCTCTCAAACTTTTAGCTGCTTGTGTCTCCTTTCAGAATCACCATGTAGCAAGACAGTAGTTCAACAAGGTATGCTGCTCAAGAATATAGTTTGTTAATTACAAAATGTAGTTTACTGATTGCAAAATTATGACTTTGCTATGTGAGTGTCTAACTCCAATCATTTACCTAAAAACCAGTGAAAGCCAAGTCACTGCCGCCAAGTCAGAACTGACTGGTGGCTGACCCTCTGATCAGTGTCTGAAGGTGTAAATCACACGGGATTGTGCATCTTTTTGCTGTAGGCGGGTGGATTAGAACCACCAAGGCGTGGTCTTTTGGCTAGCAGTCTCCTCACTGTATTGGGAGTCCTGGCAGCACAGCGGTTAAAGCACTGTCTGCTAACCAAAAGGGGATAGTGTGCACACAGGCAGCAGCTCCCAGAGAAAGATGTGGCAGTCTTCTTGCATACACACTTATGAGCTGGAAGTCTTTACTCATCTATGCCAAGAAATTTGGAAGTGATTCATATACAGGCCTATTCAAAGAAAAGTGATTAACAGAATGCAGAAATGAACAAGATATTATTAGTGTCATATGAAAATATGATTTTGAAGATAATGAAAAAATGATTGTAGTAGTACATTGAAAGAGAACGGCAAGAAATTCAAGCCAAATTCAGAAGAGAGTGTGGACCAAGTGATTTTATATATCTATATATATATATCTATATCTATCTATATATATATATATATATATCTCACTGCTGATATCAGACAGATCTTGGCTGAACGCAGACAGTATCAGAAAAGATGTTCACCTACTTTTGTTGACTATGCCAAGACACTGGAGTGGATCAATACAAATTATGACTCATATAGTAAAGACATAATTCCAGAACCTTTACACAGGTGAAGAGGCAGTCATTTTACCAGAACAAGGGGATACTGCAGGGTTTAAAATCGATGGAAAGTGTGTCAGGATTGTATTCTTTCACCAAACTTTCTCAATCTGAATGCTGAGCAATTAAAGTGGCTGGAATATGTGCACTACACACCATTAGGTCTGAAGGAAGACTCACTCACAGCCTGAGATAGATGATGTAACCTTGCTTGTTGAAACAGCCTTGAAACACTGATGAAGTTCAAGGACTACAGCCTTCAGCACTGGTTACACTTCAACACAGAACCACCATCCTCACAACTGGATTGAGCAACAACATGGTGGGTGGGGAAAATAAGGAGCTCGCAGGGGTCCACAATCAATGCCCAGGAAAGAAGTCAAAGGATCAAGTGATGCAGTGCACTGGGCAGACTGGCTGCAAAAGACCTTTCCAAAGGGTTAAAGGCCTAGGATGCACCTGACTTACACCATGTGATTTTCAATGAAAATGGACAGTGGAAAAGGATTATTATCTTTGAATTATGTTGGTGAAGAATATGGAATGTCATGTGTCTTGGAAGAAGGTCACTGAGAAGGTTCATTACAAGGATGGCAAGGCTTGGTCCCAGGGACTCTGCGTTTGTTGTTTTGTTATCAGGAGGGTCCAGTCCTGTGGAAGGAGGACATATGGCATTGGAAAAGAGGGT